CAGAGATGCGATCGAGATCTCGGAAAATGCTGTTGAGGAATGCCCAGGATACCATGTTTTCATACCTTCTTGAAACCAACATGCCACCACTCTGACCAACATCCATCGGACACCCAGTTAACATGGCATAGATGCTATAAGGTCACCCCCGTCACCCCGGGAGGATCCAAGTTCTCCCTAGTCACCACCGACTGTTTCATTAAGCGGAAAAGAGCCGAGCATCCTTCAGGATCGGAAAAAGCCTGGATCGGAGAACCGCTAACAACATCTCAGCTACATCACCTGGCCCAATACCTAATGTCAGAGAAGTTCCCTTTAATCCGACACGAGGCATAAAACCAATATCACCACTTAGGATTGCAAACAGGCCGTTATGAGTGCCAAACTTTGGTGCAAACAGCAACAAGACGATGCAACATCCAAAAATGAACATACTCAATAAGAAGCACGAGACCGCTAGAATCCGCCAAGCCGCCCACATGGCAAACTCCAAAAATCACCACACCTGGCATATGCGAGTGGAAAGCTCCAAAGCAGGAGACTGGGCATCAGAAAATAACGGGTCTACCCATGCACAACCCTAGAGCAAGCTAAATGCCACCAGGGTATGCGCAAGCAGGACCACAAATGCAAACAAAGATGGAGTTTACGCCGCAAGAGCTCAGGACGGAGGAGTCACTCCCTGGACCTGGAGTGCGTGTAGTTTGCACCACCACCCCTAGAGCGATGAGAAAGGTCCAGATATGACACATCTATGGCAAGGGTAATGTGATCAAACTCCGAACGGATAATCACACCCAAGCAAGCCATACCAAGAGCTAGGCATTGGTTTGTGATATGATGTAGTCATCTCTCTTTCTTTACTCACCAAAAAATGTAGATGTTTCTGAAACATTATCTTTGAAGTAACGGAAATTGACTATAAAAAAAACTTTCATAATGTTTTTTACTATCCAAGCTTGGTACCATTTACATAAGAGGTTATACACATTTACCAAATGGTAACAAGGACTGATCGTCCACATCATTTAAGCGAAACTGTTGTGAGAATGCAGCCATAAGCTTCAAAGGCTCATAACCTTTCCCTAAAACATGTCAGTTAGGCCCAAAGAGCCATAACTTCCGACAATGACATGAATAAAGGCTTCAAAGGCTCATAACATTTCGCTTGAAAGAATTAATACCTAAGTCCTAAATGCCTCGAGGTGATGATCTCGACTTGACTTAGATGATTAAGGCCGGAGTGCAACCCTCCAAGGCCCATGACATAGAACAAAGTCCCAAAAGGGGTAATCAACAAACTTTAGCTAAAAGGATACCTTAACAAAGTAAACTAGACAAAAAGCCCCAATGTAGAAACAATGGTCTATGACCCAATGAAGTAACGAAAATTGACTATAAAAAAATTGTCATAACATTTTTTACTATCCAAGCTTGGTACCATTTAAATAAGAGGTTATACACATTTACCAAATGGTAACAAGGACTGATCGTCCACATCATTTAAGCGAAACTGTTGTGAGAATGCAACCATAAGCTTCAAAGGCTCATAACCTTTCCCTAAAACATGTCAGTTAGGCCCAAAAAGCCATAACTTCCGACCATGACATGCATAGAGGCTTCAAAGGCTCATAACATTTCCCTAGAAAGAATTAATACCCAGGTCCTAAATGCCTCGAGGTGATGATCTCGACTTGACTTAGATGATTAAGGCCGGAGTGCGACCCTCCAAGGCCCAGGACATAGAACAAAGTCCTAAAAGGGGTAATCGGTAAACTTTAGCTAAAAAGGATACCTTAACAAAGTAAACTAGACAAATCCCCAATCTCGAAACAATGGTCTATGACCCAAAGAGCTTGGAATTATCCCTCTTTGCCCAACAATGGTGTATGACCCGGAGAACTCAACGCACTCGACCACCTTGTACACCACCTGGACAACACCCTTCTGGAGCATCCACATCACGTCATCCTCCACAGCCTTCCTCCTTAGCTCTTCCGCCTCCAGCTGCCCATGTTGTTCCTCCACTCGGCCCTCAAACACCTTCTTCTCCTCCACCATGGCTTCAATCCGATGGGAAAAGCGCTCCATCGACCCGTCAAAACTTTCCACTCCTCCATGGATGCCTTCTTCCCGACCAAGAGGTCATAACGCTCCTCAGATTTGTGCTTCTCCTCCTCCAGCCTCAAAAATTTTGTCCTTAACTCGTTCCGCTCGGCCCTAATAGAGGTAAGATCTGCTAAATCTAAATTAACCTGTCGGACGCACCGAGTGGCGGCCACTCTGGGATGAGAGTTGGAGAGTAGCTCCAAGGATTCAATGGTAGCAGGAGGGAATGCATGACGACCCTACTCATACGCAACATGATGTTACGTAAGAAGGGACTCTCGAGTGAGCTCCCACTTCGGGATGTAGATGCCAAGGGCCGCCAAAGGCAGAGAAATAGAACCTGCAACAGTACTATCCTTCGCTGAAGGCGAGGCAAAATTCGGAGCAATTTGAGAACCACGCTCTGAATCTTGCTCGGAGACACCTTCCCCGGGGTTGGTAGCATCCTCCGTCTCTTTCATGGGTTTGCGAGGCAGTTCCCTATGACAGTTTCAGAGCGTCATCATTGGGAATATCCACAACTAGGTCTGAATCGCTCAACAGGAAGTCCACATTTCGTTTCTTATGAAGACGCCCTGCCAATAGTGCTGACACCAACGCCTTCAATAAGTGGGGAGTATAACCATGCCAACCGCAAATTGGTAGTCGGGCAACTCCCTCTAGTCGCCACCTCCTTCAATGGCTCATCCTCCAGACCAGGAGGCAAAGAATCGTCGTGAGAAACCCCCTTAACAGGGGCGTCAACCAAGTCATGGTCAACTTGAGGACCAGATCCTTGTGCCACGGCAACGGAAGGGCCAATAAGCACCAGGGCAAGATTAGTGATGACCGGTAGAGAAAGTATCTCCACCAGGGGAACTTCCCGATACTGACAATTTCCCTGGAACCTACCCCGTAGGACCATCTCGGAAGGAACGATCCTCTCGCGACCTGCAACAAAAACAAATCACATACATAAGGGGATCGAAAAGCCCCCGACTTCACCCTGTCGAGATATATACACAAAAAAATGAGGGGAGGGGGGAAGGAGATGCACACTCAACATCCTTCTCCATGAAGAATTGATGCATCTTCCCACTTGCCCTCCAGGCGACATTCATACCGACTGCGAACATCATGTAGTCCTCCTAATCCTCCCCATTTAAGGAAACGGTCCTCAGTGTTTGCACCACAGTCTCACTAGCACCCTAGATTTGAGGTATTCGGTTGAAGAAAGTGGTTCTTCGAGGATGGCCAAACCCGACCAAGTTGTGATTCACCAATAATCATTTATCTTGCCAGTTCTTCTTGGGGACTTCTGATTAATGATGAACACATGGATGCCCCGCCGCTGAGAGAACGTATGAACGCCGTACTGGGTAGAGGAGTATAAGTAGTACTTGAAAGCCCAAAATTAAGGAAGCACGCCCAAGGATCGACAGACCATCTCGAAACAAACTATTTTGTCAACGACATTAGGAGTTAGATCGTCCACAAAGAAGCTATATTGGCACATGATCTCATCAAAAAAGTTGGTTGTCGGCAGCTGTAGACCCGCCTCAAAGATAGGGATGGGGACTCCGACCATGCCTTCTGGCGGCCGAGATATGTTTTCCCCCTTTCGAGGATATTGCTCCCCATGCTCAGGAACAAGAGAAAAAAAGCAAAGAAAAAGAAGAGGCATTTGAAGAACAAGCGAACGAAGAAAAGGAAACCTTCCCTGATAAGGGAAGTTTTAAATGCTAGGCGGGAAATTCAAACAATTACAATGATGAAACCGTCTGCATAGACGGCTCCGTCACATCAGTGGACGTCAGATCCATCTCCGCCAAACATGTGTCTTGATCTAAGCTAGAACAACTCATCTACCCTAAGCTCACGCTTACATTTACTAGCCTAGGGGACTTGTTAACGTATCCCTCTAGGAATACGTTAAAGATAACGAGATGGTTATCGAAAGGACGACCTAACTAACGGACGCTACCTAACATAAGTGCTAGGCTCGGGCCCTCACCCTCGTGGCCTCACACTTAGACCCCGACGCTCTAGCAGTAAGGTCCAACTCAGAACGAGAAACTCCGGTCTACAGCAAGCCAAATAGTACTAACCGCTTCCTAGTTCTGCACCAATAGCAGATAAGCGCTAGTGGTGCACGATCTGCCAATAGGACACCTCCATGCCCTGTCAGCCCAGACAAGACAAAAGGTAATGTAGGGTACATGCTCCCACAAAACAGATATAAAAGAAACCTTCTTCTCTAGAAGAAAGGATCGCCTCATTCTCTACCTGAAACTAAACCCTAATTCTCTCATCCAATTACTGACTAAATCGTCGGAGCATCATTCTGGTACCACCTCCCGAACGACGATTGACGTTGGTTCTTTCTTTGCTGTGATTCTCAGGCTTAACCCAGATGAAGCTATTCCCAAACGGCGTTAAGCTCGAAATACATATCGCAACAGTGGCCGGATTGGAGATCGTATCGCGAGTCGAAATCTTCGATTTAGTTTTGAGAAGATCGGGTGTCTTTGATGTAGATCGAAAACAAATAAAAAACCACATTAAAGGGAAATTAAAAATTGATGTTGTAAAATTGAAAACCAAGATGAAAAATTGAAATCCAACCACATCATATTTGGATGTTTATCTTCGCATCAAAATCAAATCATATCAAATTGATAGTGAAGAAGGGAATAACATCAGTGATCAGAACCTTTTGGGTTTCCATTCTTGAATTTTAGTTTTAATCTGGGGTGCGATGGTTGTCACTGAAGAGACGAAGTTGGGTATTCATTTTTGATCTTTACTTATAATCATAGTGGTGAAGGGAGTTTTTTCCGACGATACGTGATTTAAGAAAGAATGGGAAACTGAAACTAGAAAGGGAAGAGTACGGGCCAGTGTTAGGAAGAATGGATGGAGTTGAGAGGGGTGACAAAGGGTCTTCTCGTAGAGGTCACCAATGGTATGCAACACTGATGATAACCATTAGAGAAAGAAAGGGAATGAATGATAGGTTAAGGGGCGATGAGTAATCTTTTAACAAGATTTTAGGGCCAGGGATGGGGAGGGGTTGGATTTATTAATAAAATTTTAGATAATAATAATAATAATAATAATAATAATAATATGACCTAATAAACATAACTTAGGAGTAAAATAATAATTTCATATATAAAATTTGTAACAAAATAAAACTATATGGTCCATTTATGTAATTTTGTCTAAAATTTTACTAACAAACAAAGATATATTATAACATATTATATAAATTGAAATTTGAAAAATGAATAAGTATGTTTAATGAATTATATAAGTGGCTAATCCATATAATTATAAAAGAGGGACCAAACAACTAAGAAACATGCCTATACAATTTATTTATATCAATTAAAAGTGTAGGGACGAAAACCGAATTTTAACAAACATAGAGACCAAATTAGAAGTTCACAGCCCTTGATTTTGCAGAAAGTTCAGTGAAGCTCACGGAGAGACGAAGGAATAAGGATAGACGTTTCATAGTTCATACGTTAACGCAAAAAGTTAAAAATCAAGATCTGGTAGACGGATTTATACCGGAAGTGGTGGACGGAGTTATACCAAAAACAGCGTTTGGCACGGAATATTAACAAAAGTGATGGACAGAGTTTTACTAAGAATGGTGGTGTTGGACGGAGTTATACTAAGAATGGTGTTAACTTGGAGATGCCTCTGTGATTATAAGCGTCGGCAATTCAAGACTCCATTAAAAACCCTAATCGTTAAATGCTCTCTAGATCTGCGAAGATGAAGGCGTCGTCAACTTAAAGAGAAGAAGTGTCAACATCGATCGGTGTTAAAACCCCTAATCGTGAACTCATCAGTCTAGCCTGCATATCAAGGTAATCGAGATGATGAATAATTAATAGTTGTGTTATTGATAGATTTATTTCTCCCAATATGAGTTGATTAATTAATAGTATAGTTGCATTATATATCCCCATATGATGTTTGGGTTTGAGTCCCCGTTTATGTAAATTGAAGTATATATCCCATCTGATGGCATTACTAAACTGATTCTTTTGTTTTAGATTATCTTACTATGGGTTGATTTTTTACTTACTTAACCCTCTCAATGGGAGTATACATATGCTTGTTGCAGTTTGCAAAAAACCCTAACTTTTTTGGGAACTTTGTGTTTCGTTCATATAGAGAGTTTGAAAATATATAGAAAACCAAATCTTGGTTGAAGTTTCTAATTTATCTTAGGGTTAATGACCTAGAAAGGTAACGAACTTTGGTCTTTGTCCACATTTAGGTAACCATGTTTTTTTCGTTCACATTTGACCATTGAACTTGTTTGACCTGTTCAAAATAGGGTAATATGACCGGTAATTAGCGGTAACATTACCCTATTATGAACAGGTCAAACAAGTTTACTGGTCAAATGTGTACGAAAAAAACATGGTTACCTAAATATGGACAAAACCAATGTTCCTTACCTATTTTGGTAATATTTGGTTCTTTATGTTAAGTGCAAGTAGTCATAAGATCCATTGATGTGAAATGAAATTGGGTTGTCCGGTCTTGTGTAATGGGTCAACCCGGTTTAGGCCCAGCTAGTTAGGGGTTAGGTTGTATATGCTTAAGGGGTTAGGTTGTATGTGTTTTAAAGACCGAGCAACACAGCTTAGCCCATGACTAGCCGGGACTAAACTGGGTTAGACCAAGCCTAACCTAATTGTTCATTGATTGTCGGAGCCTGATCCCAGGGCACACAGTCCCTAAGACGGTTCTTGTCTAGTATTACCAAAACGGGTAAGAAACTTTGGTTTTTGTCCGTATTTAGGTAACCATGTTTTTTCGTACACATTTGACCAATAATATTTGTTTGACCTGTTCATAATAGAGTAATATTACCGTAATTACCGGTCATATTACCCTAGTTTGAACAGGTTAAACAAGTTCAATGGTCAAATGTGAACGAAAAAAACATGGTTACCTAAATGTGGACAAAGGCAAAAGTTCGTTACCTTTCTAGTTCATTATTAATACTGTAAGTGAGAGGAAACCTATTTTGTTGATATGTTATGTCTTGTGAGGAGTTTGGGGGCGATGGCTGTCATAGCTGCCATATACATTGGCGTATTTCAGGCTTCACTAGTGATTCCACATAGTTCCACGCAGAATGTGAGCCTTTTGCCACTTGATTCAATTCAAATCTTACTACATATATATATATTATATATATATATATATATATATATATATAGCTTTGATTGATTCCTTAAATTGTTTGCATTTGCAGCTGCCCTTGAATCTCTTTGTGTTGCTACTATGCTGTGCCCTTTTAAAGATTGGAATTGGTTTGATGCAAACTTAATTCCTCGGTAGGAATTCTTGTTTACAATGCCTTAATTTTGCAATAAATAAAAAATGGAGTTATTTTGCCATTTTTCATATCATTCCATTCCATCATGGTATTAAAAAAACAAACAAACAAATAAACAAACAACATGGAATTGGAAAAATGGAAGGAATCACGTTAAGAATTAACTGTTGTTGTTTCTATGTAGGATGTAACTGAAGCGTATGAATTCTTGAAGAAAGAAGTGGCAGAAGTATGATGAAAATTTGGGAGTTTAAGGGTTGGCAACTTAATTAGCATGTTTATTCTATTGTTTTTCTGTTGTAGTACTATTTCGTAAATTTTAGGTTAAACTTAAAAACCTACCTCACCCTTAGTATCGTTTACCCGTAACAACTTCTTTACCAATCATAAGGTGAAATTAATTTACAGTTTAGGAGTAATATTAGAATTTGTGTGTTGCGTTCTAAAAAAATCAACTTATGTAAATAGTTGTTAAAATGAATTTCTTGCATGGTTTTCACTTCTCATTTTTGGACTATTCAAGGCACTAAGGTTGCGTTTAGTTACGGAAAAACAGTTTTTATTTTCTATTTTTCGTTTTCCCTTTTCAGTTTTCGTTTTCCATTTTCAGTTTTCATTGGAAAATTTAAAAAATGCGTTTAGTTAAAACTTATTCATTTTGCAGTTTTAGTTTTAGGAAATTAGAAAACGTGTTTAGATGTGTGTTTTTATATCGGTTTTCATTTTTAGAAAATGGTAGCGGTGGTAGGGTGTGGGTGGGGGCGGCGACAGTAGCGGATCGATGGCAGGGATGACAGGCGGTGATGGTGGCGGCGATAATTATGGCACCGGTGGTGATTCTCGGCGGCGGCATTGGTGGTGCTGGTGATGGGGTAGTGGTGGTGGTGGTGGTTGATTGTGGTAGTGATCTTGGGTGGCTGGGTGTGTGTGTGTGTATGTTTGTGAGGGTGGGGATGGGGGTGTGTTTGTAGGGGTGTGTGTGTGTTTGTGGGGGTGGGGTAGGTGTGTGTATGTGTGTGTTTGTGTTTGTGGGTGTGGGTGTGGGTTTGTGCGTGTGTGTGTGGGTGTGTGTTTATGGGGGTGGGGGTGAGGATGGGTGTGTGTGTGTGTGTTTGTGGGGGTGTGGGTGTGGGTGGGTATGTGTGTGTGTGTGTGGGTGTGTGTGTGTGTATGGTGGGATGGAGGGTGTTAAGGTGGGGGTAGGTAGATGTGGATGGGTGGGAGTGGGTGTGTGTTTCTATTTTAGAAAAATTTTGGACTGCGAAAAATGCGGAAAACCTGCTATCCGTTTTCCAAAAATTTCCAATTCTTTGTAATTTTAGAATTTTCCGTGAAAAATTTAGAAAAATAGACGAACTAAACGCGTTTTCAAAATTCTCATTTTTCTTGGAAATATTTTCCGGAAAACGATCCATTTTTCCGTAAGTAAACGCACCCTAATAGTGTTCAAGTCATGGATGTTTCAACTTAGTGTTTTAGCATATCATCCTCTCTCCTCCTATCCTTGCAAAAACAAGATGTTGTAGTGGACAATCGGAAGCCAATTTATCTTTGAGAACCGTCAGATTTGAATGTTACAAAACAGTTTTAAACATGTCTTCTAAATTTTAATCTTAAATATAAATAAACTCAAAAACTTTCTTGATCCAAGAACACCACAAATCACCTTTCACATACACTCTAGAGAACTCTTAAACTGAAACAATAGTTGGAATTTTTCGTACCTTTAATTCCTGTTGAAAACACATCCCTGATGCACCGAAACAACCACTAATTTTTTTTTAAAATTTTCAATCAAAATGGTCACAACTCAAGTTGGAGTAAATGTGAAATTTATAAATAACTTTATAATCTGATTTCCGTAAACCAGCATCAACCATCTCATGTATGATATTACCTTTCACATACACTCTAGAGAACTCTTAAACTGGAATTTTTTGTACCTTTAATTACTGTTGAAAACACATCACTGATGCACCAAAACACCCACTAAAAAACTTTTAAATTTTCAATCAAAATGGTCTCAACTCAAAGTGGAGTATATGAGAAATTTATAAATAACTTTATAATCTCATTCCGTAAACCAGCATTAACCATCTCATGTATGATATTACCTTTCACATACACTCTAGAGAACTCTTAAACTAAAACAATAGTTGGAATTTTTTGTACCTTTAATTGCTGTTGAAAACACATCACTGATGCACCAAAACACCTACTGAAAACACATCACTGATGCACCAAAACACCCACTAAAATCTTTTAAATTTTCAATCAAAATGGTCTCAACTCAAGTTGGAGTATATGAGAAATTTATAAATAACTTTATAATCTCATTTCCGTAAACCAGCATCAACCATCTCATGTATGATATTACCTTTCACATACACTCCACAGAGCTCTTAAACTGAAACAACAGTTGGAATTTTTTGTACCTTTAATTGCTGTTGAAAACACATCATTGATGCACCAAAACACCCACTAAAAACTTTTAAATTTTCAATCAAAATGGTCTAAACTCAAGTTGGAGTATATGAGAAATTTATAAATAGCTTTATAATCTCATCTCCGTAAACCAGCATCAACCATCTCATGTATGATATTATTTCCCTTAAAATCATTTCCGTAAATCGGCGTCATTCATCTTATACGGGGTTATATTTCCACTTAAAGAATTTATTCTTCCACATAAAATATATGTTTTATTAACTTGTATGATAGCTACAATGATATTGTATCTTATGTAGATAAATCAAATTTTTAAGCGGAAATATCAACTCCTATCTCATATATGATATTCTAAATTGGCATATCAGATTATAATTAAATTTCTCAAAACATACTCAAGTTGGAGCATATGAGATTGTAAATCCACTTACATTTTACAATGGAAAGATAACAATTTTTTCAAAACATAAGTGTATTTCGTTCATAGATTCCGTAGGTGTCAGCTGGGTTATTGGACGGTGATGACGTTGACACAAAGCTGTAGAACTATATTGGATGATGTATCTTCATTTTGGGTCTTGGTCAGTAGCGAGTTTAAAATAGAAAATCATATGGTTTTCTTATCAAGTGCAAATGATAAAAATAAAGAGTCAATAATATTTCTGACGGGTCGGGTTATATACCTTAAAATATTTAAACATATATTCAATAATTATATTAAAGAGTGTAATTGTACCCGATGCGGTGTTATAACTAAAAATTTAAAATATTTGAATTATTGTATCCTTAATAATAATTTCTAAAACAATTTTTTTTAAATATATGACATTATAATCTACATTTTCTATGAATCTAAAAATTAAGACTTTTTCAAAATATAAGTCAAATACGCAAGATTATAATTTTTTTGACTAATAAACATAGTGCATTAGAAGAAGTAAAACAATATTCATTAACATATATAAGATATTTGTGATATATAGATGTTCATGTGTTTTTTAGGGTTTGATTTTTTTTCATAATTATTTGAAAATTAGAAGGATGCACGTGCTCAGCGCCGGTTGGAATGGTAGGTTGCTATTTCTTATATGTAATTAAAATTAAATGCTATAAATAACAACTTAATTGTACTTGAATCAATAACATTCAACCTATCTGATGTATGTTGATTTCAACTTCGATTGTTGGTCTTTCTGATCTCCTATACCCAACATTAAGACCACATAAGATTTTAGGTTAAGTAACAATACACCAACCAACATGTGTGCCTATTCATGAGGTTTATAAGTTCCGTCCTTACAGTATAATTTTCTAAATTTTGTAATATCTTCTAGTTTCCATCTTATTGAAATAAGGGGGTAACCTTGCTATAGTGCGCCTGAAATATATGAATTTGCCTTATTTGATGTAACAACCCGATATTTCAAGTCCATGTAAATTAAACTGATTCAAATAAAAGTCTAAGTTTCAATCATGTACAAATGAATTAACATTATAACAAATAAGAACTTTAGTACCAAGAATACATACTTGTATATACATACACTTTGAAAATAATACTTATATATAAGTTATATATACTTATTGAAAAACCATGTAGATAAGCTTAGCATCTAAATGAAACTATGAAATATATTAATGTATATATAGAAATCGGTTTTTGGAATCTAATTCCAAAGCTAAAACCGAATTCCTTAGGGAATGAAGTGCCAAAACCGAATTCTCTAAATGGTGTAAAGCTAGACCGAATTCTCTACTTCATTTGACTAGAAACCGATTTCCCTCCATGGTGTCCCACTTTAGGACCGAATTCAAGGGAATTCGGTCATGAAGGACCGAATTCACAATGTTAAGGTCTATTAAGGACCGGAAACCTCAATGGTGATCCCTTTGACACACTTTCCTAAGCTTGCATTCACTGCCTTATGAGTTTCCTTCATACTTAAGATACCATATTAACAATTGAATTCATTTCACACACATTCAGTAACGAAAAGACATTTCTCACTTCATATGCTCTCAAGTATCAAAGTAACCCAGTTAAACTTCAAACTATCAAGAACACGTCGTATCCACATCCATAATTTCTTCACTATTTGTAAGTAATCCATATGAACTAATATTATTTACCTTGTTAAATTACTAGTTAGCTAATTACGGATACAATTATGTGTAAAATATACTCAGGATACGGTTAATCACACGTATTCTATACCGGGAATTATCACAACCACATCGAAACCAACCAGGAACTCACACACGAGGTGAGTTCATACCCCTGCGTTTTTACTAATTTTTCACTATTT